AATGGCCTGTGTGATTGACGTTGAAATCCTTTCACTGGAACGTTCTGTTCTAATTCTGATTTTGACAGATCCGCAAACTTGTTATTCACATTATGCGATGTATATGTATTTCCTCTCCTTCAGCGTTTTGGTCAGCTATACAGCGGTTTTACATGTTTTAGTGAGGAATTTTGACCGCAGGGATTGAGCAAGCACGATGGAAAGTATCGGACCCACCCAGGCCGTTTTATTGTGTGCTGAAAAACTTTATGATTTATATATTACATACACTGCGTGGATGCTCTCTTCGCTCGTTACCGTTTGCTGAATAAATACTGACGTTGTTTAATACGTGCATTTTTCGCATTTTTGCAAATGTAAAAACACGTATTGATGAAGACCGGATTGCGCATGTTTGTGTGTTATTTGCCACGAATTTTCAGTTCTTTGACAGAACTAGCTCAAAAGTTGGAATTTTATCAATTCAGTCACTAGCCCTATAACGGCTTGGAACTCCACTCTCCAAATTTTACTAAATCTCGAGATGTGTGTTGGGCATCGTGAATCCAAACATAATCTTTGTAAAAAAACAGCATCAAACACACAAAAACCCCAAGATGTCACCAGACTGAAGATCAGACACTAACTTGCTCGAGCGTTTCAGTCGATACCCCCCTCTTCTTTCCCCCTCGGCCCACACACACACGCACACACACACGCGCTCACACACACATACACATACACACACACTATTCCCTAGTTCTCGGATGGCATATCTTTATGTATATAAGATCAAAGGGCGAGAGAGCTTCGCCCCACCATACACACCAGGATTCTCTGTGGGACTCAACGGGTTAATATATGACGTAAGTTAGAAACCAAATAGCCCGCCCGTTGAAGTTAGCAGTTTGTGCTTCAGCATGCAATTTATATGAATTCGACTACTTTAGCGAAAAGTTGAGAGCCAGTTGTGCGCGGTGAACTTGACATGGGGCTAAAAATCAAAGTGCAGTCGGTTTCAAACGTTTACACTCCTATTAAAAAAGAAACTATTTTGCCAAATTTTTATCTTATTTCCCAATTTGAAATACAGAGCAACGATTATGAAAAAATGCTTAGTTTTAAAAACTTGGTGGGTGTTTAAATACTGCTTGTTTAGCAATAAATATCGATTGGGCAAAAATTGTGCTAATACTGTCAGTCTAAAGTTATCCGTTATTGTTATTTATATGTTGCAGCATTCATGGTTCTGGATAAATTATGCGATATATCTGAAGTGAGGCCATATCTTTTTCTTAGCGGTTTTGGCTGCATCACTGAGAAGGTGGGTCTTTTTGGATTGTCTACAAAATGCTGTTTCGAAAAATGGCTGAGGTTCTGCAAATACTGCGCTGAAAATAAGTCAGGGTTGTATTGATGAGAAGTTGGGAAGTTTTGTGTGAAAAAATCAATATTCACAGCATATTTTTTGCATCTCGCAATATTCCGCGCTATCATTTTCTTTCACAAATTACGCCTCTTACAAATTGATGAACTTGCCTTTACGAATTTTTAAGCTTTCG